AGTACTTGCCAGTAGACATCCAATTCCTCACCACTCTCAACAGAAACGGCCTACATAGGTATTCATTCTCCAAATATCATTCCGCTCCCTCCCTCCCTACCCATCACATCGAATTGAATTGAATTGAATCGAATTGAATCGAATTGAATCGAATCGAATCACAAACACCAATAACTTAAAACCGCATACAAAACTTCTCGCACAGTCGCTCCATCCACCCCCCTTCATACCTATATAGTAAATTCCACTGCGGATCTTACATGTAAATCTTTTGATAACTACTAGCTAGGTAGATAAGTCCACGGTAATCTTACCGAATACTCCAGCTAATCTTCCACCCTGTTCAAAAAAAGCTTTTGCCGAGATAGAATGGCTTGATGGCTTTTCTAACCGGGCACAACATGTGAGATCTAGCACCCACTGTGTTAAATTACAATACGTGAAATTGTCAATCACATTCGACTCATAGACCACCTCAATTCATTGCACATAGCTTGCAATGATGATGCCATCAAATTTAAAGACCACTGTTATATTATTCAGTAATTTATTCTCAACGCCAGAAGTGACTTTGGCAGATCGCTGAACCATTTATTTCCCATCCTGATGTGCATCATTTTTCCATCATTGACTCCAGATATCGTCCTGTTTTTTCCCTTGAATCTTCCCCCAAGTTAACTCCTCCATTCTATGAAACCCGGCGATGCAATCATATTTCTGGTCATACCTCATAAAATCGTATATTCATGCAGACGGCCATTCGCCCTATCGATGCCGATATGAAGACAATTTGAAATATAACAGACTTTGCCAGCCGCAAGAGAAACGAACTAGACTTCCCCAGGATACGAACTATGAAACTAAACGAAGCTCACGAAAGCATCACCATGTGCTTTAACCGTCAACGCAATAAATATCAAACTTAAAGTGTTAGATACGTTCTACCCCATCGGCAGCATCCTTTGCAATGGCATCCATGACTTTTTCCTCGGCATCAGGGTCGTCCTCGGTTGGTGGCGGTCTCTCATTAGGAACTAGCAATTATCAACACACTATTTCCGAACATGTAATGATTTAAATACTCACCAGGTTCTTTCCAGCCCATCATCTTCTCATTAGGAAGGTAAAGATGGAAGGAAGGGAAGAATTCCACGACTTGATCAAAATATTTGACACCGATGTTAAGCTCATGAACAACAACTTCAATTTTGAGGCCCGGATAGCATTGTTGCAAGATTTCGTCCTCAATCCAGAATTCTTCGATGGAATCATCAAGCTCATCAATTCCGTCGTCCGTCTTGTCTTCGTAGGCATAGCCAGGACCCTCCCAAGATTTGCACGAGAGCTTTCCGATTGGCTTTAGAGCACCCAGTCCTCGAGGATCTTTAACATGCGAGAACTCTTTAACCACGTTTGCCGAAGCTCGATGAATATCTGCCACCTCCAGGAATTTGGTTTCAATTGTTACGACATGAATATCACCATTCTTGGCTTTCTCAAAGTGGCTTTTGTCGCCAATGAAGGCAACAATTCCTCCGAAGACAAATTGACAAACAGGCAGACTGAGTACTGGTATGTTGGAATTCCATTGATCTAAGTCGTCCTCGGAATTAGCCCAGGCGGAATTGATCTCAAAGTTTCGCTTGTAGTTTTCACCAAACAGTGTTGAAGCGGCTACGTTGAAGTCGCCGGGAAACATTTGCCGGAGACGTCGGATTGCATCGAATTCCCTTTCGGCTACGTCACATAATCGCCGTGCGGCCATGATTTCTTTAGTGTATTCTTTACATACCTCATGAGCCAAGACATAGTTTAGGAAGTTTTTAACCACGCCGCAAAACATAGTCACTTCCTCTGCTCCATCACCAAGTATTCTGGGCCCTCTGTAAGATCTATGGAACTGTTAGTGTATTGGGCAAGATATGCTCATAATACGGTAACTCACAGAAAGCCCTTGGCAACTCCCTCCCAATCTACAACCCAATTCTCGGTATCTGAGGGATCATAGTACTTGACATTGCTAGCTCGAACAAAATCTGTAGCTTGAATAGCGGCAATTTCAGCTGCAGTGGAATTGTCTAATGTTTCTTGATCGAGACCGCCATTGAAGGTTTTGGCGCCAGATTCGATTCCACCCAAAGCAAAATACTTTGTGAGAATATTCGCACGAGTGCTATCAAACTTGCGCCTAACAATAGTCAGATTATTAGCTAACAAATTCTGCACGTTGACAAGGTATGTATGAATGACTACCGTGCTCTATATCTCTGAATGCATGTTTCGATACGCCTTTACATCTTGTCAGTTTATGAAATCTACTTCGGAAATGATTGCATACGCAGCGAATGGTCGGCCTCTGCAGAAGTTGTTAGCAAAGTTGACTGAGAAAGTGTGAGGCACTTACTCGTGGTAGATATCACATTCCTCTTCATATTCATCTGGAGTGAGAGGTGGGTCGGCATAGAATTCTACAAGGTCACGTTAGAGGTATATTCGAGCTTTCATGTGTAACTGGTCTTGCACACCCTCAAATCCCGTTGGGCCTGCTGCCTTTTTCTTTCCACCGCTCTTTTTCTTCTTTTTCTTGGGTTCACCCTCTCCACCCTCAGTAACTTTTGCGTCACCATCTGCGCCTCCATCAACTGCGCCTTCTTTCTTCTTGTCGGACTCTTCAGGAGTAACGGGGAGTCTAGCGACCGGTGTGTTTGTACCAGAAGCGGGGGTAACTGATAAATGGACTGGGGTTGGAGGTGGGACTCTTGGAGGGGCTGGTGGTGTTTTCACACCGGTCGTAATCTCTGGGACGTTGATGTGTATTCTCTCATCGTCGCTGGAGCTCGACTTTGAACCGATACTCAACAGCTGATCTCTTGTATAGCGCTTGCCCATTTTGATGTCAGATTCATCAGTAGCTCCATCAACCCCCCGCAAGACAGTCAAGTCGAGCTCGCTGATGGCACGAGATAACTCCTCGGGTTCAGGACCTACAGAGTGAGGCGCCATGATGTTGAGCTACCTAACCCAAATGAATGGATCAGTATCTTAACCAATAATGTAGAACCACTTGGTGGAGAAGAACTGTCAGTACTTACGACGGTGGATTTTGGTTGGTTGGGTTTTATTACCAGAGGAAGAAATATAGAAGGCTGTGCAAAAATTAAGAGTTGGGTTACACTACCTACCTTATGTTGTTGGTTTGGAGTGGTTGTGGGGAAGTTGCGAGTTCTTTGCGAAGGACTTTTAAGAAAGTGATTGAAGCCCAATATGATGAGTCAAGTCAAATCAAGTCAAGGTGAATCTTATATTGTGGGTTAAATAATCCCAAAGTGAATTCAAATAATTTGATACAAGTGCTATGAAGAAATAGCAAAGAAAACGAAAAAGTCAACAACTGCGGCGACTGCGGAGTGAACAAGGGTCAAATGAATTAATTAAGACCTGGTGTGATAACGGTAGATGAATTGATTGTATAGATGCGATTGTTTTCACCTTTTCGTTTGCAATTTTGGTCTTGGAGATGTAGTCAAACCATGACACAGTGGTGGAAGTGAAGAGTGAATCACATTGACTCGATATTGAATTGTGTGTGTGTGGTTGGATATAACAGCTGATGTGGTTGGAGTGAAAACAACTGTTCATGTGTGTATGATGCAATGGTGTGGTGACTGAGAAATGCCAAAAAGGGTGAAGGAATTATTATACAAAGAGTGAAGTCGCCGGGAAGGTAAGGTCGACAAGGAAGGCGCACACCAGATAAACGACAATGATAATAGTAATGAAGATGAAAATGCCCTTTTCAATATAATTGCCTAGCATCTTCTTTTAGAAACGGTGCTACCAAAGTCAAGTTGAATCTCGATGTTGTTACTTATTGCTATCGACGCACCTTTCCACTTCTACCTACCTATTTTCATTCATTGGATTTGCTAATATTTCAACGTTTGGTTCGTTCTTGGGGTTCTTCTGGTTTGCAAACGAGCGAGCAAAACATGAGACCCGCCTTTCCATCACCAGCACCGCCGAGTACCTTTTTCATAAGGTTTGCCGTGGAAAGTCAAGATCCTGGTTGCGGGGAACTGCAGATTGTGGTGATGGATGGTGGTGGTAAGTACCTAGGTAACCTTAATGCTTCATGCCCTGTTCCCATTTTCCTATTGGATTTGGATGATTCTATTGATGCCTCGACATCGGTCGCCATCCGTCCGCCATGAAGAATGCCTTGTGGACTTCATAAAAACTCCTGTGCCCACACATTGCTTCTCCTTCTGGTCCTGACAGTCCCCTTTCTCACACTACTGCAAGGTGGCACATCTTTGCACGAGAGTTGTTGCAGCTTACTCGCCCATGGATCCCTCCCTCCCTCCCTCCGTGCCATGTTGGAAGGATGTAATAAATAAGGTACTTGGTGACATTGAGGAGGGTACATTGCAGGTGGCAGTGTCGGATAAAATATGCGGAATCAGCAGGAATCGTGCATGTACTATTCTGGACTTATACTGGGTCTCAAAGGAACATCTCTACACCTGATGAGGGGAGGCGCTACACTTCCTGTATGAGGAAAGGTTCCAGCGGTTTGCCATCTCTCGGCAAGGTATTTAATTACTTCCCGCATATAAAATTGTCTCTTAGCTCGTCTGGGTTCATCTTGCGCGCCCAATGTGAAATCGGAAATCTGATTAATCTCGATAACCACCGGTGCACTCATGATCCTCAAATGCTCTCTGTTCATAATTAATTATTGTTGAAGCCACGACAGACAAACGTCTCACTCCAATCGCCCCTTTACCACGCACACACACACACACACACATCCTTACAATACTCAGCCTACTCTTATTACTCCTCCTCTTATATTAAGCTTTCTTCTTTCCTAGCGTCAGAAGACAAATAGAAGGAAAACCCTATTCCTGGTTCTTCCTTGACTTGATACATATATTCTAATACATTCCTTTCAATAATGATATTCTCTTGAGACTTTGCGACACCCAAAAAGATCAACAATGGCCAAACCTCTCCCTATTCATGCCGACTTGATCGACTGCAACTACGCTGTCGCAGGGCAGTAAGTGTCAAGGTCACCTTCGATCTTGTGAAATTCAAAACATTAACCCTCAAGCAGTGACGGCACTCTTTCCGATATTGATGGCGAACTGTTTATCAAACCTTGCACCGACACCGAGATCGCATTCTACAACGACACTATAGCAGGGCACCCAGACTTTTACGATTTTATGCCCGAATTTCTCGGAACTTTGCAACTGGATCAGAACCAGAATAAATCATTTGAAGAAAAGGCGACTGAGTTGATTGCGCAGCATGCCAAACCTGAAGTTTCATACCCTGGCAGGACTAATGGCAAGAGAATTACTACCAATCAAGCCGTGGTTCTTATGAATGCATCGCACGGTTTCGTGAAGCCCAATATTCTCGACGTCAAGCTTGGTGTACGGCTATGGGCAGATGATGCCCATCAAGAGAAAAAAAAGAGGTTTGACAAAGTTACGCAACAAACCACACACAAAGACCTTGGCTTTCGCATCGCAGGTATGAGAGTATGGCAGGGACCCGATGCGAAAGGCGATGATATAGACGAGGATGGCTATAGAATATATAATAAAGATTACGGCAGGTTCGAATTAAATAATAGCAACGTTCACGAAGCATTTAAGAATTTCATCTTCACAGAATCCGCTGGTATCGACAACGAGTTAGGAAGATTAATATCTCAGGTTTTTCTCTCAGATTTGAGAAGAATACAGGATGCCTTGGAAAGTCAAGAGAGCAGAATGTACTCTGCTAGTCTTCTCTTCGTTTTTGAGGGCGATGGAAAAGCATTACGCGCTGCAATGGAAGAAGCTAGCAGGACCCCACCTCCGACCACTATGGAACATGCTTCATCATCATCCGGAGAGACTCACTCATCTTTTGAAGATGACGAGGAGGATGAAGATTTAGAAGAGGAATCCTTTCCCAAAATCTATTCTCTAAAGGTCATAGACTTTGCTCATGCTACATGGACTCCTGGCTTAGGACCGGATGAAAACTCTCTTGTGGGAGTACGTAGCGTGGGCGAAATTCTGGAGAAGCTGGCGGAGTCGTAACGGACAGGATTATAATAATGTCCAATGGCATATTGAGTATACTATGCTCTAGGCGAGCTGCTGGTGTGCGGGAGTTGTAGGAGTCATGGGCTTGTCAAATGCAAGATATCTTCATGGAGTTGCTTGGACAGGGCACACAACTATACATGAGCATGGCTGTTTATTAAAAGATTAAGATACCCCACTGCGATTGGACATCTAGAAGTCTGCATATGCAAGCATATGCGTTCATTTTGCTTTCACTTCTCATCTATCCGATTTAGACACAATTAATAATATATGCTCAACTTTATGGTCCGCGCTCTCCTCGTGTCTATATTTGAATATGTATGCTTATTAGTATGGTTGATGGTGAAGAATGCGCATCTCAGCTTCATGACGTGAGGTGATGGTGGCTTTGAAAGTGTGTTGTCCCTATCGGCCAAGCCCGGTCTCTGACGTACTGTCGTGAAGTACTAATGAGCTACGGTATGCTTATTCTACCGACTAATCAAACAAGGGACTAGATTGGGAGTTGGGCTTTGCATTTCAGGAAGTATTACATAGCAAAGCTGTAATTGTGTGTCAATATGTGGACGTTCAAAGATCGCTGAGACGATATTTCTTTGGCAGCAGTAGGCGCCCATTTAATCGTTTTTAATTCATGTCGAGTCTACCAAGGTACCTGGCTGGGTATCCAAAATCCACTGCAAATATTCATCTACCTATCCAAAGTTTATTCGATGATTTTTGAAATTTCCTTGCTTCAAATATATTTAAATTGATATCGACTAGTAAATCCAACCAACTAATAAATTTCACATGACAAACGCGTCGCGTGAATGAAACCACCATAGCGCACCGTAAGGCTGAGAAACCCCTGCCACGGAAACCTTGAAACCCCATATCTTTGAACTGGGAGCTCGACACTACACTCCCGCTCCCTAGCTAAAAACTTTACCCCATGCTCCACATCTTTCCAACGTAACCATACCTAGACACAATTATGTCGATACCTGGGCTTGGTCAAGCTGTTCATGCTGCTGTAAGTAGTAATTCATGCATGGAAGTCCAGAATTACTCAATTTATTAACTCGTTGGATGCAGAGAACTGCAGCACCAGCAGCTGTTGCGCATACGAATATTCATGAGCTTCAAGCTAACTCGGAATGGCGCTTTGAAGTGGCGATTGGGGCGAGCATTGAAGTTAAGGTATGGATTCTATTATATATTATTCAACTATAATTGCATTCTCGACGAACCCCCCCGATCTAACCACTCACCCCCAGGTCCTCTCTGGCACCGCAGAAATCTTCGGCACAGAACTCGCAGTCAACCACACATACACATTCCACGGCACCAAATCCTCCATCTACACCTGGCACGGCTGTCGACTCGAAGTAAACGGACCATGCGAGGAATACACCGCGGAGGAAACCCCCATGATCTCCTACATCAACACGCATTTCGCGCTGGAGAATTTACGGTCTGACGCTAAGAAAGCAGGACGAGATGGTCCGCGTGTACTCATCGTCGGACCTAACAATACAGGGAAAACCAGCTTGGCGAAACTGCTCACCGCGTATGCGATACGCATGGGCCGGCAACCAATCGTCGTGAATACGGATTCGCGCGAGGGAATGCTGAGCATACCGGGGAGTTTGACGGCGGCGGCGTTTAAGAGTATTGTGGATGTGGAGGAGGGGTGGGGGAGTAGTTCGACGAGCGGACCGAGTCCCGTGCCGGTGAAGCTGCCGTTGTGTTACTATTATGGACTTCCGAGTCCGGAAGATAATGTGAAGTTGTTTAAGCCGGTGGTCACGAGGCTGGCGTTGGCGGCGACGAGCAGACTGCAGGATGATGCCGTGTGTAGAGAGACGGGCATGATTATTGATACGCCGGGGGTGATTAGTCAGGGAAAGGGAGGGTATGACTTGATTTCTCATATTGTGTCAGAGTTTGCAGGTGAGTTTATCGGCTTGGGGAATCGAGGTTTGAGAGGAGAGTACGGACTAATGGGATTGACAGTTAATATTATTCTGGTCTTGGGCTCGGAACGTTTACACAGTGAAATGTTACGGCGATTCTCAACGCACAAGACTGATAGCGGAGAAGCCATTACTCTCGTCAGGCTAGACAAGTCAGGAGGCTGTGTTGATAGAGATGATACATTCATGCAACAGATGCGGGAAGCAACTATCAAGGAATATTTTTTCGGAGACGCAAAAAGAACCCTGAGTCCGCATACACAACTGGTGAATTTCGACGAGCTTTCGATTTACAAAGTCAAAGAAGGTATGCAATATTCTTCTTTTCTCTCTCGTCTCATTGTATCTTCAGAACACTAACACTCCACAAGCACACTCAATGCAAAGTGCATTCTTGCCCGGAGGAGAAGAAGAAGCCGAACCCACACAATATGAAAAAGTAGAGCCAACACCCTCCATGTTGCATTGCATATTCGCGGTCATGCACGCATCGACTCGCGATTCTCAGGATACTATTCGAGATGCGAGTGTCATGGGCTTTGTATATGTAGCAGAAGCCGATGAGAAGAAAAAGAGAATGAAGATTCTGGCACCGCTTAATACGAGAGTCACAGATAGACCATTGATTTGGGGTAGCTGGCCTGAAGCCCCGGTAAACTTGATGGGATAATCAAATAATACACAATCTTGCCGAGAAGAAAAGTTCTAATACATGTTTTTGTGCTGGGTAGTGTGCCATGTGAAAGCAAATCAAATAGTTAAAAACTCCTGCGAACAAAGTAAAAATATCCTGCCCGCGTTACCCAAATTACGCCGTTTCGCATCGGTCTGCTCCTAATCAAACCAACCTGGATATTCCTCGTTCATCCTTCATTCTTAATTCATATCACAATATCCCATCTCTCATTTCGCCACTCATCTACCTCTCTAATCCCTCGACTGCACCTTGTGATCTCCCCTAACAGCCTCCGCATACGTGGGTGGCACCGCCCCTCCACTACTTCCCTCTCCACCCTGTCCCTGTCCCTCTCCCGCATTCGTCCACGTCCCATTCTGCTGTTGCTGAACCGTAGGTGCTTCCATCGGAGCATTAGTTCCATACCCTTGCTGTTGTCTCTGCGATCCGTTCGATTTCTGGGGCACGCGCTGTGCTCGTCCATTGGGGCCTTGTACGACGACATATGTCACACGAGCATTTTCTGAGTCGGGAATGGCGTCGTATTGAGCGTCTTGGTCGGGGAATTTGGCGATGATGTACCAGGCGTGGAGAAGACCCGGGAGGAAACCGAGCATGCAGAGGAGAATGTTGATGAGGGAGTCGGCGGAGCAGAGGCCGCGTTTTACCCAGACTGGAGGAGGGGTTAGTGGATGAGATGGTGAGATGAGTAGATGGGCGTGCTATTGGGATTGGGAGGGGGAGACGTGGTAGGAGGGGAGTGTGCTGTTATGTGTGGTTGTTGGATTCTTGGGAGGAGTGGAGAGTTGGGAATAGATATGCTTACCTGCGAGAGGGGGAAAGAGGATGGCGATTAAGCCGAGGAAGATATCGGATGAGCACATTTTTGATTTGTTCGATGTATGTATGTGAATGTGTGTGTTTTGTGAGTTTGAAGGGCTCTTTTATCCTGCAAAGAAATGGTGGTTGGTCGAAGGAGCGGTTTTGGATTTATGCGAAATCAAATGTCTCTGTTCGTGGGCGAAGCAGATTCTTGGTTGTGCAGGTGGTTCGTCATCGGAGATCGGGCCTTGCGAGTCAAAGGAGGCACAAGGAAATCATCCTTACCTCTTTGAAATTAGTGTTAATGCAATGATGCAGCCTTGGTAGGTTTATCGATAAGGATATCGGAAAGTCGGACTCAAATATTGCAGCTAGATAATCCTTGTTGCTCTTTAATAAGTCCAGACATTTGATGATTAAAAAAGTTCAAGATTTGATCTGTTGCGCATTACGATTGTACATATAATTCACGAACGACAAATATGCCGGGAAATAATATGGGTGTCGATATGGAGGAAGAGGATGATCCAATAGTCAGCTCTTATGATATTTTCATTAAACCTCATATCTCTGAAGGTCGAGAAATTTATGTCTTACAATTTCCCAATCGCGACATTGAGCAACGATACGCTGGTTCAAATGATGCCCAACCTCTCAAATTTCGAACGAAACCAAAGGCCGGAATGGTCGAAATGGATGTTCCAATCGATGCGCGCAGGAATTATGACAAGGATAAGGGTGTGAAATGGGGAGATGCTATCAAGAAGAGTCAAATGGTTAAGGGCGGAGGAAGTCATGGTTTACCAGGTGGTTTTGGAATTGGAGGAGCACAACCAACTGGCAGAGGAAGAGGACGCGCACAAGAGCTTGATCCTGAAAAAGTGATGGCGGATTTTGAAGGTGCTATTCGGACTGAGCAGGTTTTGGTTAAGCAAACTCTTGGTGGTCAAATCATTCCAGTCGACCAAAATAGTCCTCAATACTTTTTGGGCGCTTTTCAGAGTGGTAATTGGAGACGTTTTCCTTTTCATTCTTGGGAAAGCTGCTAATTCAATCTAGATAAACTTCATCTCACCCCAATTGACCATATGGTACAAATGAGGCCTCAGTTTCATCATATCGACGCACATGTAGAACAGGAAAAGCAAAACCGACCTCGCGAAGGACCTGCACCAAAGGCTACCGAAGCTCGAGCTATTCACATGACGGTTAAGTCAAGTATTGATGGAGAAGAAGATGGAAGTGATAACATTGGCGTACGAATCGCTGCTGCGCAACAAGAGCAATGGGTAAAGCACCGATATGTTGACGAGGATCATCAATCTGCTTGGGAATGCTATCATGAAAATATGTTTATCTATCCGGAGCCAGATGAGAAAGGAGAAGAGCAAGAACTTTCGCCAGATGTGGTTCCAAAGTTAACCACTGGGATAGATGATATGGCATATATGGATACAATCAGTGCGCCAAATAATGCTGCGAAAATGTCAAGGGCTAAGGTGGATGCACAAACGATTGATCTTGATGCAGATGATGATGAATAGAATTGTATGATATGGGTTCATTCTCTGGCGTATAAAATCAAAAAAGATACCCCGCACATGTCCTTGGTAGACGAGATAGACAATTGAACATGCTTCATTCAGCAGAACAATCTTGTAATTGTATACTCCATTTGAGATGGAATGAATATATTTTGGTTGTATATGCTCGAGTAGGCAACTCTTTTTGTATTTCATCTATAAATCTACTCTAGCTAGATGTCAATCAAAGCACTGTGCGTGAGGTTTGATATATCTTAAATCCGAATACAGCCAGGCGATAACGATAAAAAAGTTCCGGCGTCATGCATTATCAACCATAGCTCGGCCGATAGTAGCTTTATACTTACTTGCCTGCCATCCCAAGCTCGCCATCCCACCCAAACAAACCATTTTTACCTCACTTTCTTCCACGCAATTTACAGATTCAATATGGCGTATCTGGCCCCAATACATAGACCAAGTAGTGTACGACTTACACTGCGATTGAATCTTTTAGATCACAGAGAGGAATGTCTGGTACTTGCGTAAGTAGCAATCTATACAAGTTTCCATGATTCAAATGCACAACACAATGGAATACTGACTTCTTCACAGGAAAGCAAATCGATTGGAAATATGGAGGCCCACAGAAGAAGGTCTCACGATGGCATATTCGAAATCCATATATGGCCGTATATCTATGCTGCAAAAGATTCAACCTGCGGGATCTAAAACCGACCATCTCTTCGTAGGGACCGTTCGAGCACAATATTTTACCGTGATGTGGAATCCCCAGACGCATAAACTAGATACCATGCAATCGTTCGTCGATGTCTCTCAAGAACACATGCGGGATTCGGAAAGTAGGGATAGATGTCTTGTGGATCCGACGGGGCGATTATTAGTTATGGAGTTGTACGAGGGAGTGCTGAATTTGGTAAAGATTGTAAAGCCTAGGGGAGGCAAGACGGATTACTTGGAGAACCCGGAACAAGTGAGGATTTCGGAGATGAAGGTTCGGGCGAGTGCGTTTTTGTATACGGATACTAAACAGCCGAAATTGGCTTTGTTGTATCAGGATGCGAGGGAGAATGTGAAACTGGCGACATATAGGATGATGGATGATAAGGGACAGCTTGTTTTACAGTTTGATCCGAAGAAGGATAGGGAGAATGATGTGGATGATTTGTGTGTTGGAGCTATGCATATCATACCGGTTCCGAAGGCGAGAGACGAGGCGAGCAAGAGATATATTGTTAGGAACGCCACGACGGCAAAGGCTAATCTAGGAGGGCTGGTTGTCTTGGGAGAAACGAAGTTTACATATCTGGATGATGAAAGTAAAGCCATTGTCGAATATGCGTTGGACGAAGCGGTATTATGGGCGGCGTGGGAACCGATAGATGAGAGAAATTATCTACTAGGGGATGATTATGGCTTTTTATACATTTTAACAATACTGGTCGATGGGGCTACAGTTACTGGATTACAAGTTGTAAAATTGGGTCAGGTTTCTAAGCCTACATCTTTGGAGAACTTGGGGGATGGAATCTTCTATATTGCTTCACATGAAGCGGACAATCAGGTTGTTCAAATAGGTTTGGAGAGTCCAGAACATGGTGTTACGTTGTTACAGACACTGCCAAATATTGCTCCAATACTTGATTTTGCGGTCATGGACATGGGCGGGCGAGAGGGAGAAACCCAATTGAATGAATATTCTTCAGGTCAGGCTCGATTAGTCACGGGTAGTGGGGGATTTGAGGGAGGAAGTTTGAGAAGTGTTCGGAGTGGAGTTGGACTTGATGATACTGCAATACTTGCCGAAATGGAGGGTATTCGTAAGGTCTTCGCGTTACATTCTGGTCCAAGTCTACCAAATGATACTCTTGTGGTATCATTTTCTACCGAGACCCGATTCTTTAAGTTTGACACACAAGGAGATATTGAAGAAGTGGAGACTATTAAGAATTTGTCTTCTACCTCGGAAACATTACTAACTTATAACCTTGACGAAGGCCGTATACTACAAGTCACACAACACGAGGTAGCGATACATGGCAAATCTCCTGGTCATCGATGGCAACCTCCTGACGGACAAATAATCACAGCAGCTTCAGGAAACCAGAACTATATTCTACTTTCATCTAATGGACGTACCTTGGTCACTTTGTCAATTCAACAAAATTTAGCAGAGGTTGCATTCCAGAAGCTTGGAGATGATCAAGTAGCTTGCATACATGTACCCCAAGTATTGGGTGATATAGGTGTCATTGGGTTGTGGAAGTCAGGGTCGGTATCTCTTCTTGATCTCGTAACTCTTAATACTATCGTATCTGAGGATTTGCGACGAGCCGACGGTGCTTCCATACCGAGAGACATTGCTCTTACTCAAATTCTACCCCCAGAACTTTCAGGTCCTACATTGTTTGTTAGTATGGAAGATGGTATTGTGTTGAGCTTCAATGTCGACAAGACAGATTGTTCACTTTCGGGACGAAAAAGTATTGTCCTTGGGACACAACAGGCGCAACTTCAGATTTTGCCACGGGATAATACAACTTTTAATATTTTTGCAACATGCGAGCATCCTAGCTTGATATATGGTTCTGAAGGTAGAACTGTGTATTCTGCCGTCACAGCTGAAGACGCAATCGCAGTATGTTCATTGAACAGTATAGCGTATCCAGATTCAGTAGTTGTGGCTACAACAAATGAACTCAAGCTCGCAGCCATCGACAATGAAAGAAGAACACATGTCAGAACTTTACCAATTGGTGAAACTGTAAGAAGGGTAGCATATTCAGCTAAAGAGAAATCGTTTGCGATTGGAGCTATCAAACGCGAATTGACGAAGGGACAAGAAGTTGTCACGACTTCTTTTAGACTTGTCGACGAGGTTGTCTTCGGTGAGCTAGGAGAGCCATACTATTTGCCACCAAATAACGAAATTATCGAGACTGTTATACGAGCGGAACTTTCAACAAAACACGGCAGTGGCGAATTAGTCGAGCGCTTCCTTGTCGGTACAAGTTTCCTTCATGAGGAGGAAGCGAATGTTCGTGGCCGTCTTCTTATTTTTGGTGTCAATGCCGATAGAGCGCCATATATTATCGCTTCTCACAATCTCAAAGGTTCTTGTAGATGCATTGGCGTACTCGATGGTAAAATCGTAGCAGCGCTTAATAAAACAGTCGTAATGTACGACTACGAGGAAACCTCCACAACTTGCGCCAAGCTTAATAAACTGGCCACATATCGATGTTCTACTTGTCCCATCGATATCGATATTACAGATAATATAATAGCAGTAGCAGATATTATGAAATCTGTTGCGCTGGTCGAATATACGCCTGAAGCCGATGGTCTTCCAGATAAACTTGAGGAGGTGGCAAGACATGCACAACAAGTCTTCTCGACGAGTGTTGCAGAGGTAGATACGGATATGTATTTGGAAACAGATCATGATGGGAATTTGATTTTGTTGAAGAGGAATAAAGAGGGTGTTACGAGAGAAGATAGATCTAGAATGGAAGTTACTTGTGAGATGAATCTTGGAGAGATGGTCAATAGGGTTAAGAGGATCAATGTGGAAACATCGAAAGATGCTCTGTTGATCCCGAGAGCTTTTCTCGGCACTGTACGTTCCCCCTCCCCCCCTTCTTCAACTAATCGATTTCTGATACTAACAACCCCTAGACCGAAGGATCAATCTACCTCTTCTCTCTCATCCCCCCACGAAACCAAGATCTATTAATGCGTCTCCAAACCCGTCTAGCATCTCTTCCTTCCGCCTCTTCCCTCAAAGGATCCTCAGACTCCACAACCCCTCATCAAATCGAACTCTCGCCCGGTAATCTCGATTTCAATAAATACCGTTCCTACAAATCTGCCACGAGGGAAACAAGCGAACCTTTCAGATTTGTAGACGGGGAGTTGATAGAAAGATTTTTGGATTTGCAGGGTGAGGTGCAGGAACTTGTGGCGGAGGGGTTGGGTGTCAAAGCGGAGGATTTGAGAGGTGTGGTCGAGGGATTGAGGAGGTTGCATTAGAGGGAGTTGTAAAGGGAGGAGCAGAAGCGAGAGTGGGAGAGAGTCTGAATTTTGGGTGGACATCTAGAATACGGATGTGCATATCGATATTAGTGGAATGAGATAAATGAGTAGAATAAAGCTATCCAAGGTCAAGGTAAAAAAGGCAAGAAAATAAGCTTTCTACACGCATCAAAAATGAGCAAGGTTATCAATCACGTAGAGGGGAGTGTCGATTGCTGTATAGTACGTGCCAAGGTATAGATGATAGACTTGCATAGATTCATCTAGAGGACGGGGGAAATAAGAATACAAATTGTGCTTTGCAAAATCAATGGACTACATGGCTGCTGAGGTGAGGCGGGAGAGAAGGTATTCTACGTGACACATCTTCCTTGAGTTATTTGAGCGATGGAATAGCAAGGTGAGTGATTAGTTGATTCAAAAGTTTGGGAGGCTGTACACCGAATGATTAATTAGTAAAACGTTGCGTGACTATACTTTTCACCAAGTCACCCGCCAAGTTCACACATAGTACGTCCAGAACACTTTTTGTAGAATATCTTCATTTTCATTTATTCGACTCCGTGATGTGATTACCCAGAACCGCTGAGATATCTATAAACAACAGAAAAATCCTTGCCTTTACAATTCTCCTGTTGTTCCACAGTTTCATAAACCTCTCGAGCTCTATTACCAAGCTCAAGTTTGGCCTCAACTTCTTCTGCTGCTTTCAAAGCAAGTCCTAGATCTTTCTTCATCAGACTTATGCCAAAACCTCCACTGTAATCTCGTTCGGCTGGTGCACCAGCTACAACACCCTTGACAGGATTGTTGAGTTCACTTGGCCAACATTTGCCAGTACTACTGTTGATCAAATTACCTAGGACTTGTGGGTCAAGACCCCACATTATTCCCAAGTTCATGGCTTCAGCTGTTGCAATGTTATTGATCGCCAGAAGGTAGTTGTTGGCGAGTTTCCCGGAAAGACCTGCACCTTGAGCTCCGCAATGCAACACCCTCTTTCCCATCATCGTGAGTATAGGCGTCACACGATCAACTAGATCATCCGAAGCCCCAAGCATAAAGGTCAGAGTTCCGGCAGTTGCGCCAACAACACCTCCTGACATCGGCGCATCGACGAATCGACCTTGTTGCGTAGTATGAACTGCCCTAGCAACATCTCTAGAGGATGTTGGATCAATTGTGGAACAATCAATGAAAAGACGATCAGGATTGGCGACTACAGATGTAGAAAGTGGAGGCTTGAGTATTTGACTGAAGACATTCTTTACGTGTGCGGGTTCTGGTAAAACGGTAATGGTGGTTTCCTGCAAACAGTATCTATTAGCAATTGAACCAAATGTTTTCTTTTCCAGGCAAAATAGACAATTGATTGAAATAGAATCAGAGGATTGGCTTTGTTGTATAATATAAAAATCATTAGAAGATCAACCAAGACGGTTGACCCCAACTTAGATCATTCATGGAACAAACTCATCACATAAAACAGAAAAAGCAATTTGGTTGCGAGACAGAAATGTAGTGGTATAACTTACAGAATTCTCAGCAGCTTCTCTGATACTACCTGCAGCCTCGACAGCAGCACCAGTCCCAAGAGCTTTTGTGTCTTTTGTGAATCTCTCCACTGCTTCAGTATTGATATCATAGACTCGAATCGTATCGGCAGGAGGTAGTTTAGCTTGGAGGTTTCTCGCCATATTGTATCCTGTCTAAGGTTAGCGATTAATCATCTTTTTTGGAAGATTCAAAGCAAACATACCCATTTGACCAAGACCGATAAACCCCCATTGTCTCTGTCTTCCTACTGATGATGAGAAGCTCCTTTGGTGAACAGATCGGAATAATGACCGCACAAATGGCGCCGATGTCCTCACAGTTGCCCTCATCTTCACAATCCAACTCACGTTGTCCAGAAGTCAATTGAAAAGAAGAAGTGGGAATTTTAATAACAAACAGACGGTTGAAGCGGATACGCTCCGTACGAGCGACCGTACAAGCTGACGAATGAACGAATGCGGGTGCTCCCTCGGGTGATATTTAGTTGAATGGGGAAGGAAGCATAGAGAATGTGGGGAAGTTAGTCTGGTTGCGCTGCCCGAGGCTGCTTTGCTTCCTGAATCCTTGAACCGTTACCCCGATACCCGACAAAAGCCGACAAGATCAGCAGTTTTGCTATCAATCCATGATAGGAAATACCTCACATGAGGTTAAACCTTGAAAGCTCCATGCTTGCTAACCAATACTAATTGTGAGATTAGTTTGAGGAATGAATGTATAGCAAATGAATGGATAATTGATAATTGATTTCTCCGTACTTCGTGCTTTGCAGAGAAGCTAAGAGGTAAAAATGGGAGAGATATAGAGAAGAAGTATGGGAATAAAATTAAAAAAGAATTGGAGAAAAGTTTGGAGAAAAAAATGGGAAATGTATGCTTAGTCACTCAATAAGCGAAGTAGCTTACCCCTGTCAAATGAAAAGCACTGATAAGAAGCATTGAGAGTCCCGTCAAAATCCAGTTCATGATCCATCAACTTGCACAGTTCAGTGATGGGGATTCGGGGTCCATATAAATCAACGCCAGCGCGTCATCAAACAATAACAATTATAGAATTAGAATTTCGATCGTCATCATACTGCTACACTAAGATCTCCTCAAATTCGGCTCAGATACTGCGGGGTAGGAGGTTCTGAACTCAATATCGAGGCACATGTTGGACGAAACAACCCACATACCAAACTTGTATACCTGCGCATATGCTTCGGATCGTTCTTCGGTTCACAAGTGAGATCGACTATCAAGTAGTTTCTCGTGCCTATGTATATGCTGTAAATATTAATGGTGGATTCTAATTTGGTACACAATTGGATTCATCCGTTGCGAGAGATCCATTAAACATATGAAGCGTAGTGAAACCCGCGGTTCAACGGAGTGATTATAGTAATATAATTAATCTGTACCTATCCCTGACCAAAAGACTGACTCGCTATGCTATTAACGATTGTCAAGAGCACCGAGAAGTAGCTCATTCTTGCTGCCATGCTATTCTATGACCGAATCCTGTATGATGTCCAAAATCCTGACCCAAGCCCGAACCTATATCCGAATTACCACCGGGAGGAAATTACATGAGTCCTCATATCTATCCCATCTATACCCATTCACCTACCTCTTCTTTCCTCTTCCACCCTCGACCACCGCTTCCAATGCTCCTGCAGCCCGTCTCTCCCTCTTCCTGAACTCCCCATTGAACGTTTCCGGCAATATCATCTTCGCATTTGCATGTTCTTTAGCAAAACCCACCTCTGCGGAATTTCCAAATTTCGCTCTCGTTACCCTAACAGCCTCCTCCAACATCTCTGTTCCCACGCCTGTACCTCTGTACCTTACTCTTGTAGTCCATGCCCTGATTACACCTTTCCCTCCCTTCTTCCCACTTTTTCCTTTCCTTGGCGAACCATTTACATGAGGAGCTCGTTCAATGCGCAAGATAAGTGCTCCAATGAGTTCTTCCCCATATCGAGATCCAATAATAACATCTTCCTCTCCTTCATCATTTTTGGCAAAACTCCAATTGAACTCCTCAGCCGTGTGCAAATACCCTGCAGAGGCAGCGCGAACTGCTACCAAACATGCCATTGTAACTCCTGCTAGTGTGGTTCCAAGCAATCCCAAATCGCTGGTGTCTGTGTATTGCCATTTTGTAACAATTCCAATTATTAATGCGTAAAAAGTGAGAGTAAGAGGATGAAAGATTAATGCTTGAGCAGCGATTTGACGCTGTTGGGCAATAGAATCTGCGACTAGTTTTAGAGCTTTCGTTTTATCCTCTTCGGTGTCTAACGTGGTAGTTGTGAGAGAGGGAACGCCGTCGAGGGGATCGGGAACAATGGTATCGTCATCGATATTGGACGACATAGTTGCGAGAGATGATGGGCGCAGTGGTGGAAGATTGTGAGAAAATGATGCGCCCAGAATTGGAGTTGAGGTTGTAGAATTGAGTGTTGATGGTGGTAGGACCAGATTTGCTCGAAGAAAAGTAAAGAAAGCTGGTGGGGGTTTATTGTTAGCAAAGCTTGACTAGACTTTTTGTGAATTGGTGTTGGATGATAAACTATCAACGTTTGCGAAAATAAAGTATTTTAACATGTGAAGAGTTTCGTCTCACTCACAATTGAGGGATAAAATCCACAAAATAACGAAGGCTATTATAAATTGGATTGGTTGAAATAGCTTCCCACCTGCTCAGACTGAAAGATTCACAGAAAACCTTTTCAAAACTTTTTGTCTTCCAAAAACCACAAACTTTTTTCGTACAATGAGAACCAGCGACTCGACATAAAAGAGAATGCAAAAGGAATACTTCGAAAAAGAAAAGATATAAATGAAGAAACTCACCAGCACTAGCTAGAAATCCAGGGACAGCATTCATTTTATCCACCACAATATTGGCAGTAGTAGTAGTACTATTCAATGTCGTACCGCCACCATATTGCGACCTTCTCAAATCCAATCCCCTGGGAATAGACACAGGCACGTGTCTAGGCATTTTCCCCAAAGAGGTAACTGTTACCAAATAACTCAACCTTTTTCGGTTCTCTTTCCAATTTCCGATACCATTCGCGTGAGGATGGATGATTTATTGAATGGGATCAAAACTCAAGGATCTTAATCTTTTATATGGGATTTTGGGATACTTACTGACGTATGAAATCTGCACGTGGGGTGTCCCAGTTTAATTGGTGAGGAGCTTGTTTATCTTCTTATCGATGTGCCAAGGGTTTAAAGTTTGATGGCCATCAAGGATTGATTTGGAACCAAGACATGGGACATCTAGACACAAGCCATATTAAATCGTTTTGAGTGGATGAAGATAGGGCTTAGTAGGCGAGGGGATGGAGGGGGAGGGTGTGGGATAACATCCAGACTGGTCAACTGGTGCATATGATGGTAGGCGATTTGATAGTTAATGGCTGTTGGCTGTTGGCTGTTGGTTGTTTGACTTTTGACTTTGAATTTTCGCTTTTGGCTTATCGTCAATGATAGCAATGGAGGTCGGTGACTGATAGTGATATTGATGCCCAGTGGGTGGGCAGTGAGTGGGCAGTGGGTGGGCAGATGTTGTGTAAGTGTCGGTATCCAATCAGCCTCGCTCCCAGCTCTCGGGATATTTTTATGGAGAGGAAAGATAACTCGTCCGTGTGACCAAATCTATCAGACAATCGTTGCCCATACTGGCGTGCTTGATCAGCTCTGTTTCCAGGGACCTTTTCACTTGTATCTGAACTAATGCGCGGTCGTAGGAACTTGTTGTGTAAAGTAAATCACTTGAATATGCGAGCTTCAGTTCACTACCAATGATAGATGACTTTGATGAATATCCTAGATATCAGTCAACATATCCCTGGGGCCTCGATGCCGATGAGTTAAACTCTCTGTCAGGATTCTGTATGCGTATATTACGTATCATTGATGAAGTTTCATACTTCATTCAAGGATCTTCTTGCCTCGTGAGCAACAACCCACCTTTCGATCATGCTCTGAAACGGTTGAGAACAAGTCCTAGGCTGTCCAGCGCTATATCGGTTAGGGCGCCAGATTATCCAGAAGTTGAAAGAACATTCCCATAATACCATCAAGCCAAGAAAATGTCCATGGTACCAGCCACCAGTACGGACCTCCGGAATTGAAGCACTGCGATTGTAAGCACAGGGTGTCCAATAGTCCGGACTGCAATTCAACAATCAAAAGCTCACGTACAATATCAAGTATAACAGGAGTTGAGATGGGACTTGCTATAATTTGCAATCCGTGTGGCCTCTGAAGCTGGAGCGTCTTTAATAAATCGGAGTGGTGCACGGACCTCTCGACATATATCCAAACTTCCTCCAGCTTCACAAGCTCATCATGTTATATCTTTTCCTTATGTCCTTATTCAAACTTGCGTGGATAAAGTCGCTCAGTACCACAACTTCATACTCAGTAGCATTTTGGCGATCGCGTCGAGAACTTGGTGAAGAAACAGAAGGCAAGCCGCCAGACCTCCATGATTATGATTATTGAGAACGTTTTTAGTCGAAACATTTGAGAGTGTTCAAGCCTTCAAGGAAGCCTTCTATTACAGTGGGAATGGAGATTGAGAGTGATCCATCTATCTTGGGGACACCTGATGTCTATATTTAGGAAAGAGTTGAAATCTTGGTCACAAGCCGCACGACGCTCACTTCACAATCTTCTTTTGCACTTCCAACATTCCTAACATTCTTCTCCACCCCGCTTCAAGAACGTGAAGTAATAACCATCTCCTGGCCAACTCTTATGTTTTGATTCTTTCTATAATTATAATATCAAAATATGCACTGCATTGACCACTCAATCAGTCTCCATAATGGAACATCTTCATGAGATCTACCTAATACTCTAGGACTGTGAGAAGCAAACGTCCTAGATATGCGTAACATAGTAAACAATCAAATCTACAAACAACAGAAGCCATCATTATGAATATAAATTTAAGCAAGAGTCCTTCAAGGAAACAGCATCAACAGCATCAACTCTCGACAAGAACTTTCGACATCTCGACAAATATCACATCACATCACTACACCAAACCACCTTCCAACACCAATCAACCAACTACCACTCTCCCAAGACCAAACACAAACCCCTCAAAACTACCCACTCAAAATGCAATTCCGCAACGCCTTCACCCTCCTCCCCCTCCTCACCTCCACCCTCGCCATTCAAGTAACCTACGACCCCGGCTACGACAACGCTGCTCGCTCCCTCTCCGCAGTCTCCTGCTCCAACGGTCCCAACGGTCTCGAAACCCGTTTCCCCCAATATAAAGTCCAAGGCGATCTCCCCACCTTCGCCCGCATCGGCGGCGCATCCACAATCGCCGGTTGGAACTCTCCTAACTGCGGTACTTGTTACACCTTAACATATCAAGGCGTCTCGATCAATATCTTGGCGATTGATGCTGCGGCTACGGGATTCAATATTTCGGAGAGCGCGATGAATACGCTGACTAATGGGAGAGCGGTTGAGTTGGGAAATATTGATGCGGATTGGACTTTGGTGACGCCTGAGGAGTGTGGATTGCCAGCTGAGGGGGGCGGGTCGCCGTGTGAGGCTTAGATTTGAGGGTTTGGGGGGGGGGGGGGAGGGGGGGATGGATTATGAGAGAGGATCTAAAGGGGTGAGGAAGGTGGTTTGGTGTAGTGGTGTGATGATTTGTTAGATGATCAATATCTGTTCGATTGTTTCACTGTTCGATCTTTCGAGCTTTACTTTTAGTCCTTTGAAATAAATCTAATGTTAATTTTTATCTGAAAATTTGATGCGGCTTGCACGTATATTTCTCAATTCTCTAAGAAGGTTATCAACTTATCTTTATGTCATGAATTTATAGCCTCACACAACTTGTACGCTCGAAAGTGTATATGGATTCTTTCCGAGTCACTCAATAGACATCCCACAAACTAACCTTCCCATCCTTCCCTCCCACAGCAACCCAATGCGTTTCCCTCGCCTTCCTCAGCCTCTCCCCCTTAACATCCAATTGTCCCAGTCTCCCCACCAACTCCCTCCCCTTCTCATCCCCTCCACTCTCCACCTTTTCCCCTTCCAAAACATCCGCAACAGCAACCGCAAAACACCCATCCTTATGCCACTTCAGCACCGCCAATTCCCTCATCTTCGCCACTCCGTAAACTCTCGCTCTCCCGTCCCATCCAGCTGTCACGGCAATCTTCCCATCATTTCGCACTTCTATGCTTTGTTGTCCCGCATGTGCTGTTTTCAGCATTTTGGGCTCGTCTTTAGCGGAGCTTAGTATTGATGTTGAATTTGATTTTGATGTTGAAGGTGAAAAGGGAGTGGTGGTGGTGGGGATCACATATTTGATGATCCGATCATCAGCACCACTAGTGAGAAAGAATTTGCGGTCGGGGCTTGGATCGAGAGAAAGGGAGAGGACCGGCTGGATGTGCGATTTGGAATGGTATATGGTGTTCCATTGTGGTGATCGGGATGAGGATGCAGTTGAAGGAAAAGAAGAGGATGGAGAGAGAGAAGAAGTGAAGGAGAAGATGGAAACTGATCCATCTTCGTAACCGGAGAGAATGGTTAGGCACTTAGTGATGGGATGGAAGAAGAGTGATAGACACATGATCATGCCTGGCTTCTCTGGTCCAGGCGAAGGAATATTGTGTAGACGGTGGAGAGTGGGAATGTGGAAGATATCGATCTGGAGTTGTTAGTTTCTCTTGCTTATTTCACGTGGATGATTACTTACTGATTCGGATGTCAACGTATTTGGGACTGCGATCAACAATTGATCTTCACCCTTCTCGTCTTTTTCAATTTCTGCTTCCGCTTTTTCGTCATTCCTCTTCTCTCCGTCCTCATTCGCTTTGATATCCGAATACAAAGGACACATAGCGAAGGCGCAGAAATTCATGGTGTTGACATCTAACATATGTAGAATCCATGGTTTTCTCCTCTCTTCCGAGACGGTATCAACGGGAAGAACTTTACTCATGAATTCCTCCTCTGATGGGGGAAGCTTCCATATCATTAGTTTATTGTCTTTTCCATGCCTGCAAGATATCAGCTGGGCGTCCTTCTCTGTTCACCTCCCCTTTCCCAAACATGATGATGGCTGATTAGTTCCACCCCCTCCCCTTCTTCTTCCCCCAACCACAAATCACCAAACCCCTAAAACTCCAAGAGGAAAGAAAGAAGAAGAAAACTCACGTAATTACCCCCTCCCCCCACTCCCCCACGCCCAGCAAAACCCCCTCATGCGCCCTCCAAACCGCAGTCCCCCTCCTACTCTCCAAACTCCACATCACAACCCATCCCTCCGCATCCCCCGTAACCAGTCGCGTATTTCCTCGTATAAACTTCGCTACATGTATTGGAGTCGCATGTCCACGGAGGATATATGATGGTTGAGGTGCGCCTGGAGGTATGGACATTGCGTCCGTGTCAAACTGCTCAAGAATGCCCAAGATGGAGAGATAAGAAATCCGCAGTGTTTGTAAATCAAGCTTCTCATAGAATCATTGATAGCAGTTTATTGATGAAATTGTTGTACGCCAGAAGCCTGATCTCTTGAAATGTATAGGTTCGTTACATAAGCATCACTGGAACCCACGAAAACGATTTCTTCTTCCTCCGCAATATAGCAATGAGAATTATTGTCATTGGAAATCGTACTCTATCTAATGTTTCCGAGACACCTACATTGATACTCAAAAGTAGATACAGAGCCTAATAGCTCAGTTCAACCCAGAAAATTCGCCTGTCGTGTGCTAATCGCCGTATAATAAAATTCCTTCCGACTGCCCGCTCCCCCAAAAGAATTTACCAAAACATTTTGAAAACGTTTTTGAAACGTTTGTGAACGACCGACACATTTTAGATGTGCAACAAAACTTTTCAAGATCATGAGAATCACGTGTCGCTTATATCATAGGTTAATTCCCTTCATCACGTTGATGATGTCGATGACTAATACAGGTGAGTAGGTAGTTGTGAAAAGCAATGTTCCTATTGAACTGACAAGTGAAACGCGGGCATTTGTATGATGTTGAATCGTTGACCGTCTACAAATAATTACCGGATTCGCTTACTTGTATGTGAAATTGGCAAAATTAAAGTACCTAGTAGCCTCAATCGTTCATTCAAAATGAGTTCACCTACTCACCAACCTCAAACTATTCAGACGAGAAGGGTGTGCATCGAACAAAATAGGTACATTCTTTAACATTCAGAGATAATACAATTCATGCATAATGTATATACACTGTCGTCCAATGTCACTCGCTCTATAATACTACAATATCCAAGAACAACGCTGAAAGAATAAAGCCCTCCATTCCATCAAACTCCAAGGTTTTATGTTCAAGAATACCTAGGAGTGCCCACCAATCCGGCGCCGATTGTTTATTCCCCAAACGCCAATTTGACACCAATGTCCCAGTTCATAACGCTAAATTGAAAATTTTGTGCCCCTGATTCCGTATGCAAAATGGCGTCCATCCCTGAATTTGTCCTCTCAGGTATCATTTTGATTTGCGTCTCCCATAGCGTCGTCGAAGAAGTAATGAACAATGAAGATCTCGCTGGTCGTTTGTAATATGATATATCAATTATAGATATGTATGAGTAAATTGATTTGTTGTGTTTGGTGGTTGATAATGTTGTTGATATGGATGATTCGGTAAGGAGAAGTCCGCAGTTTTCAGAAGAGGATTTAAGATACCGCTTGGAATGGACGGCCTTGCTGGTGCAGGTGGTAAATTTGACGTTGGTGCTGGCGTATTAGAAGGGAAAAATTGTGACAAGGAATTCGCTTGTGGCATCATCTGTTGCTGTTGTGTTGTTTCATCTGGCCAACCCCACTTCGTTTTGAGTTCTTTGTGTAAAAATCCGACTCTCCAACCCGTCTCTTTTCGAATTTTTTCGAATATGGTGAGCACTTCTTCTTGTTCGCGACGAACAACTAAACATTCGGCAGCGATAGCTAAAGAGCGAAGCGCGACACTAGCTACTCCCCTGTCCTTGACGTGTGCTACAATGCCACATATGGAACGAGAATGGTCTTGTTGCATATCGTGCATTTCCGAATTTTCTGGGCTCAACAACGGATTGATTTGAGGGAGAAGGCACATCGCTGTGTGGTAGAACAATCGACCAACGATTGTGGCACGTTTGAGAAGCCTATAAATTTGTGATTAGTAGGTTACTTTGTACACCCCACTTAGTGGATAGATACTCACCAGACTTCTGGGAAGGCGGAACTTGAAGTGGTCTGTGACGGATACAAATAAGCCATCGGGTGCATAGTCCGAGGTATACTACTGTTCCAGCTATCACAAAGATTCTTTAATTTTTGCCACTCCGCATACCTAGATTGCATTCGAATTTGTTCGTCGTGGGGTGAAGCCTCCTGAAACCGTGGAATTGATGCCCGGAAGTTTGCGATTTTACCAATGATGTATAGCATCCGATGAACCCAGACTTCCTCTCGTCCAGCTTCCAATTCTCGTGAAAAGTCCATATCAACTCCCCATTGATCCGGTTCCCAAGCAACCTGCCAATTAAAATGCAAACAACTGAGCAATTCCATACCAACATTAAGCCAAAAGCATGCGGCCCCTACACCAGTACTTCGTGCATTCCATCCACATTCCTTAATCAAAGCTCGTGCTCCGGCAATATGGTTCATACGTTGCATCGCTCTTTCGGACATGATCTCATAAACGTTAAGAATGACAGCTGTAGTTGCACAGATGACAGTATCTCGATCGGGATTTTGTAACGATCGCAACAATTGAGTAGTGGCTGTATCATAATAATATAATGCTTTGTCCTCCTGGTAAACAGGATTGACAAGAGTCAAGTGTCGAGCTCCACATGCTAGGAAAGCATTGAGAAGCATGGGTTCTCCTAGAGAATGGAACGGTAATAACCTGGAGAAGTGTTTCATCGGGTCCATACTATCCATCCATAATCCAACTTCCTCAACGAAGACTTGCATATATAGAACTTCTTCGGGAGTAGTAAGATAATCCCGAGATTCGTTGGGTGGCGTGATAATTTGTTCCGAAGCAGTGTATGCAGTCGGCGCGGTCAAATAACTAGAGCTCTCACTACCAGCGTGAGATAAATGTCTACTTGTATGCCTAGAATGTGAAGAATGTGCCATCTCTTGCTTAACCCCAAGATTATTTTCCATGAAAGTACCAGTAGTCTGTATTGGTGGAAGCGCATTCCCTTGCATCATAGGATCAACAACCACAGGTCGCATAGGATATTCGGTGGGCGGGTCTCGAGGGGGCGTAATCGTTTGTTCGATGTGAGCATATCGACTCAAGCCGCCCTTGTATTCTGAAGCGATTTCGCGGGATTCATCTTGGAATTGAACTAACAATGCATGAGTAAATGTATGGTGAAAAATGTCCTTCAATCTACTAACCTGACCAATCTGCTGTAGGAGGGATCATTGGTGGTGATTTGATCTGGGTATCGATAAAATTTAATCGCACCCCTCTTTTGCATTCCCTACTAGATTTCCGGCAATTCAGACAATTTGGCAAACCCTCATCACATTTCAAATGTCTTTCTCT